GAATTTTAACAGGGTATATATTTTCACATCATGACTTCAAATTTCAGCATCAGCTATTTTTAGCATCAGCTGCGATATTATAATCAGTTGATTAGTATAGTTAGAATATTATAAAATAGAGAAAACAGAATAAATGTAGAATAGTGAGAGAGAATAGGATGATAGACAATGAAGAAAAAGGTATAAAGTTACAATTAAAGAGATAATAGTTTTGATTATTATAAAGATTATACTTTTTTAATCTTAATAATCATTAGACCCAAATTATTAATAAACTATTTATTTCTGCATGATTTATGCTATGCTTGAAGCTAGTTTGCGCATCATGCGTATTGTTTTTTGACCCAGAGTATAACAGGGATCAGTGTTATAAGCACATATAACCTGATAGAAACAATAGAGAATTAGTGATAGTAAGTCTATAGTTTTACGCATGTGAATATTTTTTATCAGTTTAGATAAGTTATTTAAGAGCTTACTGAATATTTGTACAGAAGATATCTTGTGGCAAAACTAGATCTGTCGTCTTTCTCATAGTTTAATAATTATGAGAACACAATAACTATTTTATTAATAAGGCTAATTGGCAATTATCTATAGGTGAATTAGAGCTAGCAAACTTATTCTCATGTGCTTCTTCATTATCAAGTAATAAATTGACATAACTAAAAATAATTAGCATAATACGATTGTATGCAATTATCTCTGAATAAACACTAGCTATCATGTGTTTAGATTTACCAAAAATACTAAGTATAATATTTCTTGCAATTCATGCAATCATACTAGTATTCTTAATTTAGCTAATTATTTAATGAAAATTGTTATTAGTATTTTTTATTTAGCAGTTTATTCGATGAAAATTGTTATTAGTATTCTTAATTTAGCAGTTAATTTAATAAAAATTGTTATTAGTATGTAATAATATGCTTTTATAACATAAATTACAGATAAAAAATATTACAAATTTATAATTTAGCAATATAAAACTATAATATTGCATATTGATACTATAATTTTAATCTTCGTTGTCAATTTTTTTTACTTTTCAACATGTCTAATCAGCAAAAACAGCATCGTATGGCTATTAGTAATAACCTTAAATGTCAAATTTGTGAATAGTCAAAAACAAATGCTAATAAACACTTCAAGAAATTACTATTTACTTTAATGAAAAATATCCGAATTTATCAATTAACTGAAGCACTGTATCTAAAATTTTAAAAGAACATGATAGATAGATAGCTGTAACTAATACAGAGATTTCAAGCAAAATATTTAGATAAATAGTTTTTGATAATTCTTTAATCTTATATAAAATATTTAAACATTAAATTTTAAAGGTATAGAGAAGTTAAGTATCTATCATTTGATTGAGCAATGAATCTGTGGATCGAAAATATGATAGCAGAGTGCATTACTTTAACAGACTTACTTATTAAAGAAAAGGCCAAAATATTTGCTTTAGCATTTGATGTACCAGAAAGTAAATTGGCTTTTTCAAATGGCTGGTTAGAAAGTTTAAAATCGTAATAATCTTCAAAAGTATCGTGTATATAGAGAATCAGGAAGTGCATCCTTAGAATTTCTTTCTGAAAAAAGACTTAAATTATGTAAACTTTTGAGCCAATACTCACTTGATCAAATTTATAATATTGATGAAACAGGCCTCTATTATAGAATGTGGTCTAATTAAACTCTTTTATCAACACCTGTTCTAGGTTAGAAAAAAGATAAAACTAGAATAACAGTTCTTTTGGGTGTTTATACAACTGGAACTGATAAACTAGTACTATGGGTAATTGGTAAATCACCACGTCCAAGATCTTTTGAATGAATGAATTTAAACAAACTTCCAGTTTATTATCGTTCAAGTTCTAAAGCATGGATGAATTTATTTTTATTCAAAGAATTACTTCAACATATAGATAATAGGTTTAGAGCTCAAGATAAAAAAATTTTACTTTTAGTTGACAATGCACCATTATATTTTAATCTACATAAGGATGAACAATATAATAATACTGATGATGATATTGAATATAATAATTTAAGTGAGCAAAGTACTTCTAGTTCTACTTCTCAATTACGTAGAAATTTTTATAAAAAAAGTCATGCTAAAATGTCAAAGTCAAAATATAGTAATTATTATAAAATTTTATATTATACAAATCTCAATTACTTTATATAAAATAAAAATTAACTGTTTATTAAAAATATACTAAACTCAGTAGTATCTTATTTTAAAATTTAGTAACTTATATAAAGAATAGTTGCTATCAAGTATATATTATTCTTGGCATATTATTCTATACAATAAGATTAAAATTTTATATTCTCAATTTTTTTGAAATTGATAATTTATTTACTTTTAATATACTACAGTTAAACTCTCTATATTCATGGAATACAAATTACTATAATTATAAAAGGTGTACTAATATAAAAATATTTTTTATATAATTGTAAATTATTAGTAACAATAAATTTGTAATTATATTAATATTATGACTATAGAAAAGGTGATTATAAAGAAGTTTAACTGTATTTATATATTGTCTCTTTATACAGAAATTGGGTATTTGTATAATAATTGCTTTTTGTAGTAATATGCTTTTTAAATTAAATTTAAATTTTAATATTAATAGATACTAAACGTAAAAGCAAAAAGTATAACTCTACTTACCCTAATATTTCTCAACTAAATCTAACTCATGTTGAGATCACTTTTTTAATACCTAATACTACAAGTCACCTTCAACCTTTAAATGCAGGGATTATTGCAAGTTTTAAAGCTCATTATAAATAAAATTATTGCTGTTTTATTTTAGAGCTTTTTGAAGATGGTATAGATATAAATGAAAACAAGCTAACTATTAAATATGCAATTGACTATGTAGTAGATGTATGGAGCAATGTATCTAAAGAAACAGTTATTCTATAGAATAGGTAGGCAATATAAGAAATAAGCTTCGCTAATGATTAGTAATCATTAATTTTTTAATAGTGAAGTTGCTGAGTTTGCGGAGTTTTCCTACCTATTCTATAGAATATTCAAAGAAACTATAGCTAATTGCTAAAAAAAATTAGCATATTACCTATAGTTGATAAAGATAATATATCTAATATAACACAAATTGAGCAAGATATTTTAACTTGTGAAGAAGATACAAATCAGTTAATTGAAGATAATTTATATAATAATTCTTATTCTAATTTATTAGTAGATGCATTGAATGACTTTTTTGATAGTTTAGATGAAGAAATTCCAACTGAAGATATTTTAAATGAAAATGATATTATAGAGTTAATTCAAAATAAATTCATAGTAAAAAAGATAGTTTAAATTATTCTGATGATTCTGAAGAGAAACCTGAATTAGTATTATTGAATAATGCAAGTAAATCATTGCAAACGTGGGTAGCTTTTTTTGAGCAACAACAATCCGATGAGTTCAAAAAAGAAGATTTATATATTTTTAAAAAATATCTTAAAATAGTCAAGAAGCTTGAATTCCAAGCCAAAAAGCAGATCGCAATAACTGACTTCTTTACTTATAAAGATTAAATATAAGTTAAATTTTTTATAATGGGTTTTTTTTGTATTTAATATACAGTATATATATATAATGTATAACGGTTTTATTTTATTTAGTAAATAAATTTTTTATATTATACATTAGATGCTAGCATATAAAACTAACAAAGTAAAATTATATTAAAGTTTATTCACAATTTATAAATAATTACATTGTGTACAATATATCGGTTAAGTAATTATCTAAATATACATTATTGGTAATAATGAAAATTAATGATTTTAGCATTTTTTATTGAAATAATGTTGCTTCTATATATAGCTATGAGTGACATTAACTCTGATAAATGAAATTTTTTGTCATATAATTGTTTTTACTTTTACAGTAAATAGATATGTGTATGAATAAATTATTTAATTGATCTTCAATATTATACCAAGTTAATGTTTTATTATGCATTATCCTTCTGTGTAAATTTTTTAATTTTTAAATTTTTTTTATAAAAATAGTTTACTTTATCATAAACAAAATAATGATATTTGATTCAAAATAATATTAATAATAGTTATTATTATTTAATCAAAATATAAAGACACGCAAAAATTACTTGAATCTAATTCAGAATATTTCAGAATAGTTCTCTTTATGAAACCTGATTTGGTCAAATTTACAAATCTCAGCATCATTAAACGGTTTAATAACACTTTCATATTGTTGTCAACTTTAAATATTCATATTAATCTGTTGCCAATTTTGGTATATTCGTGTATTGCACTAGGCCATCAATAATATATAAAATGCCTAATACTTAGTGGTCAAAAAAAGATCTGAAAAAATAATATGCAACAAATTTATTCTGTATTTAAGAATAATGACTAGCACTAAATTATTCTTTCATTTAACAAATGCTATAAATATTATCACTCGGTAGATCGGTAGATGATTTTCGCAAAGTAAAAACTTATTTCTGAATCTTTTTTTTCACCACACTAACAAATCAACAATGAGTAAATTAACAAATTAAGAATAATGTGCAATATATGATTATTTTTTCTAAATAGGAAATTTAGTGTTAGTGTTAGATCTAAGAATTACAAGTTTAGTGTAAACATTATATATAAATAATTTTTTAAAGTTGTATACAAGTAGGCATATAATAAATATATAGACCAGTATATCTAGAGATATCTTTTTTAGGTTTATATAAATTTTATATTATTTCAGAAAAAAATGCAAGTTTTGTAGTCTATTTGTTCTGTATCATTATGCAATTTAGGTTAATCCAGAATTGGCACATGTTATTTGTAAATCGTGAAATGAAGTAAAATCTCATTTTATAAATAGAATTAAGCAATAAATTAAATTATATATACCTAACTTTACTTGCTCGTACACATAGTGCTAAATAATCTGTTCACTTAATTAGGATTAATAGATATACTTCTATACCTAACCATATATCTCTGCTTCAAGCTTTCGAAAACCAAAAAGTTACTGGTAAAGATAGTTATGCGAACAAAAATCTATCCTATATTATGTAGCTAATTTATCTATAAATATGTATTATAAATGCAATAAATGCAATAAATATTATAAGTGTGATAAAATTGTACTTGTTTCTATAACTCTTAATTACACTATTCAGGTCAAATTTAAAAGTTATAAAATATAAAAATTATAATCACCATTTATAATTTTTACTATAGTTGCGATTATATAAAGGTTTAAATTTTATAATCATACCTCCATACAATCACCAAAATAGGGTGCAACCAACTTGTGATTATAGAGAAGTCTGACTGTAATTTATGTTTTATACTTGTAGAATAAATTATATAAATTACTACAGGGATCTAAAGCTAGAACTACTTTATCCTGATTCTAAAACTCTACTAGAGTAGACTAACAGACCTCATCTAAATTTATAGAAATAATGTAAGATGTAGATATATTAATAGTAGAGAAAATAGCTGCCTATTTATTAAATCTTGCTATATTATGTTATAGTGTAGATAGGTATTCTGGTTAATTTTAAAATATTTTAAAAATATAAATATATTTTAATTATATTATAAATATATTTAGCAAAAATACAAGTTTAAGTAAAGTCTTTTGCTATAGTCTTTGATGATTATTGATTATTAATTTATTATACTAGTAAGAATTCAACAAAAAAAAACAAAATAAAAAATAACTCTTAAAATAATATAAAATTATAGAAAAGAGGCCATAAAAAGCAATAGAATAATATATTCTAGCATAAGTTAAGAATACTTTTGTTTTTGATAAAATTTTTTTTTCTTATTTTTTAAAAGAAAATATTTTTTTTACAGTATCTAGTACATATTAAAAAATGAAATATGTGAATTTTCTTTTTTAGATATTGTTTTAGCAATCTTAAGTGTGAAGATAATTTGAAATTACATAAATAGTTAAGCTACTAACTATACTTAGTAAATGTCACTTACACTATATTGTTAAATGCAGAAAACATATTACACTGCATGAACTGTATATATATATATAGTAAAGTAAACAGGTAAATTAAGTAGGATTAATGAATATATATAGTAAAGTAGGTTAGTCAAAATTAAGTAGAGTTAATAAACTAGATTTAAAAGCTTTAGATATAGAATATCGTTATTTTATTTTATTTTTTTTTTAAGAATGAGGCCTAGCCTTAGTCTTTATTGAATAATTATGTGTTATATTATTTAAATAAATTATATG